GAAGCAAACTGCCACATCTTTCTTCTGCGGAGCTGCTGGTAGTTTTGAACCACTGACCTTTCATTTAGCAGTCAATTGCTTTAACCAGTGCACCACAAGGGCTTCTTATGATACAATAGCATACGTATTTATTCTTAATCTTTTTTTTTTTTTCTGAAATATCTGGGAGTAAGTTGTAGAGATCATGATTCTTTACCCCTAAATACTTCATCCAGTATTTCAGCTAAGCACAAAGAGATCTTCTTTCATAACCTCAGTGCAATGATCAAATTGAGGAAATTTAACATAGATACAATAAATACCGTTATCTACTGATTGTCCTTTATAACACCTTCCCCCACCCCAATCTAGGATCATGCATTGCATTTAATTGTCATTTCTCTTTGATTTCCTTTAATCTGGAACTCTTCCTGAGCTTTTGTTTGTCTTTCATGATAGTGACGTTTTGAAGAGTTCGAGCCATTTTGCCTTTCTTAAAATTGTGTGTGTATGTGTGTGTGTGTGTGTGTGTGTATGTTTAAAATGAGGACTAGTAATTGAAGGTCCTAGTTTCTGGTGAGTGTTATACTAAACTATTCTATTATTTGAGAAAGCTACTTTTACACTTTTGCTTTGTAAAATGCAAACTGTGATGATACTTTCAAAGTGTGTATACTTTTTAACTTTTTATTATAAATTTTCAAGTTCACACAAAGTAGAGAAAATAGTATAATGAACCTCGTGTACCCTTCACCCAGATTCAACAAATAACATTTTAGCTTTCCTGTTTGATTTTTCCTCAACACTTTCTTCTTGCTGATTTTTAAAGCAACAATCCTAGTCTCTAACCCTTTTAAGACTTATCATTTTCTGCTTTGAATTTTTTTGGGGGGGGCGGGGGGGGGCATGTGTTTTCACTAATGGACGCATGCCGAGTCGTGGAGTGTGTTTAAATTTTTGATTGGTAATATGGATTTTGAGAAATATTATGTGAGAATACATGATTGGTGGGTGCCCATATGTCCCTGTCATGGGTGGCGGGATGTAATTCGGGGCACCTTCCATTTGGGTACATTGGGTACCTCTGGTTTTGCCTGGCACCCCAGCTATTTTGCTTCACTGAACGTTGCTTTTGCCTTTCACCATTACACAAGTCTTCATTAACCAAAACCTAAAACCAAACCTATTGCTGTCAAGTCGATTCCGACTCATAGCAAACCTATAGGATGGAGTAGAACTTCCCCATAGGGTTTCCAAGGAGCAGCTGGTAGATTCAGACTGCTGACCTTTTGGATAGCAGCCATGCTCTTAACCACTGTGCCACCAGGGCTCCTCAGGTCCCCATTGCAGGGCAGCAAATACTTTCAGTGGGAAAAGTAGAGTCCCAAGAAACCTGAGTGGCGGAAAAAGTAGTTGGGCAACCAGTGGTCTTGAAAGGACTAACAGGTAAGAACTTCTTAAAAATCAATCACAGTACAAAATTTGATCACACCTAACAAAACACAGTATCTTAATATCATATAATACTCACTGTTCAGTTTTCCCTAATTGTCTCAAAAATGTTTTTTACAGTCATTTTATTTGAACCAGGAACCAAATAAGATCCACACATTGCATTGAATGATATGTCTTTAAGTCTCTTTTAATCTGTAATAGTTCCCTTTCTTTTAAATTTTAACTTTTATATGTGGGAGAAACTAAGTCATTTGTTCTCTAGGATTTCCCACATTCTGGATTTGTCTGATTATATCTCTATGTTGTCTTAAACATGTTCCTTCATCCTCTGTATTTCCTGTATACTGGTAGATAGATCTAGAGGTTTGATTAGATTTGGGTTCATTTT